CTGGAGATGGCGCGCAGTGTCCGGCTATTCTGCAGACCGTGCGGTGCATATCACAAGGGACCAGCAGTGTCTGGTATGCAAAGAAATTTGGAGCCAAGCAGCGTCGTATTCAGTATGGATCGAGGGCACGGAATGCAAGGAGTGGGCTCGTGAAGAGTGCGTTGATACTCACACAGTGCCTTTCAAGTGTATTATTTTGCAAAAACTGAACGCAGATTTGGTGTTTTAAGCGTGTCACATTGTACGCCACTACACTGTTTGATTTTGCCCCACAGGATCGGGGCAAAATGAGACATTCTGTAACTTTCAGATATTGTAGTTTTGTTTAATGGTTCGCTTGTTCCAGTTAAGTAATATGTACTGAGCACGGAGTCAAGACATCTAAGAATACCGTTATGGCGTTTTTTAATTCTTTAATAATTGGGCAAAAATAAAGATTGCTATGAAAATAATTTTTTTTTGTCTCATTTTGCTCTACCTTACCCCGCTCAGTTTCGCTTCGAGTCCGACATCAGCCGACAGTATACGACCCGATAGAATGAAATGAGTAGTTCTTAACTGCCGTGTTACAAACTTTACTCGATCTTTCTCCAGGGTAAGTTTTGTACCTTTGCGTCCTAAAACCCACCCGAGCCCAGCGCTTTTCAATTTTTGTTGTCACGTGACACGACCCGCCGGAGTAACTCGGATCTGTCTGGGTAAGATTGGGAACACAGCCAACAACGCTGAACACGCGTAGCTGAAAAAAAAAGACCGCCAGTTGTGGAGGCATATAATAAGAGACCGCAAATTTATTGTGTACATTTTTACGGTTCTCACTTAAAGTAAAATTCTTGCTCTGACTGGCTGCAAAAGTTGCAGGAAAATGAGAACACAGCTGCGCTGAAACACAAATAGAAAAAATTAATAAAACTTGCTTGCCACTCGAAACAGTTGACTAGATGGCAGTAATTCATCCCGCGTTGTCGTTTCCCATGTTATTCTACCCTTGCTTTTCACCCTTGCGGAAGGGACGTCGTTCCATCATTGCACGTGGGCCACATCAGGCCTGTCGTGATGAGCTAGGCGCCGACAAACCTCCGGCGTAGAACGACAATATTAAGCTTGGTAATCTCACGAGCGCACGTGGTTCCAAATAAAGATCACTAGATCCTGGGAAAGTAGTGCCATGATGCCTTGCCTGCCTGCTAGACCGACACAAACAGATGCAAACATACAGAACACCGAACCCTGCAAGGTGATTGTCAGATCGATCTCAGTTGCCATGGCAATCGACATTTCCGTCGATTCAAGTCTTCAAAGCTTTGAAAGGGTCGTTCTGAACAAGTCGCGCCAAGATCCCTATGGAGCATCATGGAAAGTGTTCCTCGCCAATACAAGTCTCTTTGACAGTGTGCGTGCAATCAACTTATTAATCATGCTGACCTACACATATATTCTACAATGGTATGCTTGTTATTTTGTGCTTCAAGAAAGGAACATTATTTTTCAATGCCGCCACGCAGCGTCGCCGCATGTGGTGGCGGCGCCGGCATGTGGAGAACAAAATCGGTTTTCAAGAAATACCCTTATAAAGCAACCTGTCATTAGGAAGTTAGATCGGCTCACCAAGAATGAATAGGTCATGAAGGAACTGCTCATTTCACGAACCAAAATGACGACCATACGGGGAGTTTAACGCTACTTTCCCAAAATTAGGTGTCTTTAGCTTTAAAAGAGTGAAATCAATGATAAAATATAATTCTTAGCAGAAGCAAAGGATAAGAAGTCCGGCTGAAAACTGTACTCATTTAGAGCTTTAAAAAAAGATAGTCACCTGTCATACGTTAGAGTGTTTAGAATGCATAACATAGTCTTCATAGAAACAAGTACGAAAAAAACAACAGCACTTTCATTATTTTATGAAAATAAATAACCACCTTTTGCGAATTTATACTTTCGTGGAAAGACGAGCAAACAAGAAAATAAACTAGCTGCTTTACATGATTGAAAATATTTTATTTGTCCCTAAAACACATAAGATGTTCAGCGGATAAATTTGTTAGGTGTAAAGAGAACCATATTTTTTAGCCTAATAATGGTTCTTGCACAAAACCTTAATTTTGCCCTCTACTTCATAAAACATTTTTCAGAAGAGATTTCATAGGTCTCTACATCGAATAAGGCGGGTTATCATTCTTCGCCGCACTTTGCAATTGTTCATCTTCCAGTGATTGTATTCCTTAGGGCACGGGTGTAAAACACGTGACCCGTGATTCGCTGGGACGCGGCCCGCCGGCTACCTCCTCCGAGCCCCCGTTCTCATGTCTCGAGTGCTAGAAATGGCGTGCGACAGGCTCTAAACGCCGATTCATTTCGGCTCAAAAAGTACCTTTGCTATGAAAACATATCCACATAGTTTATGCTATTCTGTTTTCATTTATCTGCCTTGTGTATTCTGAGCTTTTAGGGGCGAAGCTCCTTAGGGTCTAGCCTATTCCGGCGTCCGTGCTCACATCGATTGCCATCCCATCTGTCTTCTTAAAAAAAGAAAAAAATGTTTGCGCAGTCGACAGGGTTCGAACCTCTGCGGGGAGACCCCAATGGATTTCTAGTCCATCGCTTTAAAGGAGTGGTGCAACGATATTCAATTTGAATGTTTTTCACTTTACACGAGCTATACTGGCACAAGAGGGACTCGAAGGTACTCGCACGCAACGTCACTGACCAAGAAACTTCTTTGTTGCGGTGTAATTTCAAGGACAAAAGCAATCATTTTCAATCAATCTCTCCATTTGCAAATAGTGATGACGTCACGTGGGGATCGCAGTACACCCCAATGACGATATTTGAGTGCGGTTAATAGATTGGACCCGAGCATTGCGTGGCCACTCGATTTGGGGATCGTGATAATAGATAGCTCGAGAAGCATTCGGGTAGTGGCCCGTGTCCAATCGCTGCAACGACGACAATAACCGAGCCATAACAATGTCTGGAACTCAGCGCGTGCCTTGTGCCTTGCCAACCCCAGCGCGTGGCTATGATCAACATTGGCGGCATAGAATAGGCTCCAGATCACGTGGCCCCTTGTTCTGGCTGCGAGTTGAGGGGTAGAACACTGCTCGTTTTTCTTTATTTTTTTTCCGGGGACTTCTATTGCGTGGGGTGAAAAACGAACACGTGTTTTATAGGTCATTAACGTCAGGGATCTGATCTTATCGGTATTTGTGCAAAGTACAAAAATTGTTGCACCACCGCTTTAACCACTAGTCGGCCACGACTGCGGGACGTGTAGGGGGCTCTGAGATGTGGTAGTAACTCAAGAGCTGGGGTTTCTGTCAGGGATGAAGCGTTGCATGTAGCCGCTCAACGTCTATACAGGAGAGTGCACTGCGGTCAAATGCGTATAATGCGTTAAACTTTGCATGCATTGGCTCAACGTTTAGACGAGAGGGCGCTGCGGTCAAATGCTCAAAAAATCACTATCATCAGTACCACCAGAGCTTCTCCCCAATCATCATCATTCACCGCGTGGAGATGCGGTCATTTTTTTGCTAAGTCGGTCATCTGCACGACAATTCCCCTACTAGGCTGCAAATCCGAGCTCTTCGCTCAAGGGCGCCTCTCGGCTGCACGAACTCTTGTTCTGCAGGAACAACTGCCCAAAAATAAAGCCACGAGCTCAGGATTCTCGCCTTCAAAACAATAACATCATTAAAATACAGTTATCTTTTTCTGACTGCTGCTATAAACATCTCATGGAAAGGAAGAGCTGTCATATGAAAATATTTAATTTTTTCGAGACATGTTGGACTCGATTAATTCCCGAGTGAATTGAGGAACGGGAACGACGGCGCGCTAAAAATTCTAGCACATTGGCGGGGAGGAGTCTTTTTTATTCGTGTTATCACATCAGGTAAGTGCTCAAAGTAATCCTGGAAATAGATCAAAGCTAAAGATGCCACTGGAAGAACTATCCGTAAGAAGTTCAGACTTTCTTTTAGGCGCCAATGGCGTGGCAATGCAGCTTTCAGCAACTAAATGGCGGCGGACGGCAACTCAATCTACTAAACGACGCCATATTTTCACCGCCAAGTGCTCTCTGTAATGCGTGTTGCTTATCGTGTCGTCGTTAGTGGTAACAGAAAATATTAATTTTTACCGGCAACTACAGGATACAAGCACATTCCTCGCGTGTTTCCTTTTTTCTTTTCCCGGTGTGCTTGTTTAATGTAATCCAAAAGATCTGCAGACCAGGAAATCACCTCTCTGGTTTAGCAGAATTGTGACTATGGGAATGATGCGAGCAAAATAATATTTTTTTTATATCCTTCTACATTAATCAGCCCAAACGGCGTGGAAGCTTTCTTTGTACCTGTTGCTTTGCAATGTAAACTAAGTCCCAGTTTTTTTTTTCTTCCTTGGTAACCCTGTATCACAGATGCTGACTTCATCCTTCGGAAGTCAGCCTCCGCACTGCAGCCTCTAAATTTCGGCCTTCACTTTCCATATTCCAATTTTTAGACTTCAACCATGAAGGCTTCAAGCTTCAGTCTTCGACCATTATACATCAGTGAGGCAGGGCGCCAAACTCGAGAATGAATATTAAAGAAGCGCTCGCTATACACCTGCTGCCACTGTTTCCCGTTGTGACACGTGTTTGATATGTCAGAAAGATACGTGCGGAAACCTGTTTGAGAAATGACCGTGCCTCGTGGATTGAGCATTTTCTGATTTACGTTGACAATTTCCTTTTTTTTTTTTCACTGACTTCATTCCATTTTTTTAGCGAAATAAGCGTTTGCCAGGAAAAGAGTTTCATGCCTGCTTACTGATACAAGCAGCAACATGTCTGACAGGGGCCGGATATTGTATAGTCATTTCTATCTTTTAATAATCACATACACTTTTTGTTTCCTCCTCAACGGCACGTGGAGCAGAAATTTAATAATAGGTAAACTATAAAAAAGGCGAAGCTCACCATGGTAAAATCATATCATCTGTCCTCTTCCCCAACAGTTGTACCAGAAGCTGAAATAATGGCCGCTAACTTTGTGAGCGCTTCCAAGGCGATTGTCCTGCTAGCACTTTGCTTCATCGTGATATGCAGTGAGTGTCTTCGCCCCATATTCTGCACGCTCTACTTAAGATTGGTCTGCAGGTTCACTGCAGTGTTGAGTTTTCAAAGTGTACATTTTCGATGCGGATTACCTGATAACTGTATTTTTTTTTGTGGATTCAGAAAACTCCGTATTTGCTCTGTGGAGTTAGCTATTAACATTTGAGACGAGTACTATACCAATTAACGTAATGCTGCTGGGGTTTGGGAATACAATGGTGACATATGGCATAGAATCAACTCCAAACTGCTGAATTCATTGTTTTACGCGCGTTCCTTTAAAAAAAAAAAAAAAATATGCAGCACCTGTAGTGACGCTCTCGAATGCGCTATACGACAATTTATTGCATCATAACTGACGTAGTAAATAAGTAAAGGTGCCTTGCAATGGCTCAAAAAAAGGCCGTTTTTAGGCCTCTTCTCACAGGCGAGTTTGATTATTTTCAACTGCATTCGCCTTTGCTTGATCGTTGAGATGCGGCTTGGAGTTACCACGCCAACCAAGCTCGCGTGTCTTGGTAGTAACCTTACCTCGCAGTCGTATCTCGACTATATTGTATGAGGTATTTAAGCGGAATCGAAAGCTACTGTGTGTATAGACGTACAGGTAAGAGCCTCCAATGAAACGAGAAAACTCACAAAGTTAACTTACGACAATGGATACACGGATATAAATTTTTAAAGGTGAAAATCATAGTAGCAAGTTTTATTAATTGTTTGTTCTATCTTCGTAGCTTCTTTCTTGGGTTTTGGAAGTGCTTATTAACTCGATTTGTTATACTTAATTTCAGAAACTGTGTCTGCCGGGCCTCAGCATACCTGCGCCTACCCTCAAGGTAGGAATAAGGTCTTCCTCTGTTTAGTTTAAGCATTTCATGTTTCGTCGGCGTTTAACCGAATGGCTTGTTTAGCGAACGGTGAAGGTATTTTACAACATTGACCTCTGTGACAAAGAGCTGTGCTCTATATGCAAGACCTTTACCACTGGTATCAGTGGGCTATTTAAAGTAGAGTCATCGACAAGGTTCGGGTAAATTAGCGTTGACATTGTCTATTTGTACGTTGGGTTCAGGCTTCAGACTTTACTCTGCTTGATTATGTTTTAAATGTAAAACATGATTTTAATAAAAGAAAATGCACAAAACAAATCAGCTGTTAGAGTCCTTCTGAAGCGCCGCGTGCTATTGAGTTTGTGTTTACATTCTATCTAGCAGCGGTGGAAGGTGTCTCCGCGGTCAATTTGTACATAAAGCGCCGGCACCAAGCGCCTCGAAGGGTCTACCAGTCTTAGTAACACTTGTCAATCAAAAGCTCATCGTCTTTTGGTGGATGCGACATCCGCGATACCTTTGTTTGCTTATCTAGATTCAACTACGCTTAGTACTCTAACCACAGATTAAAAGTCATGAGACAGATAGGGGAACAAAAGTGAAAAGGGTCGTGTACTGTTGCACCGTCTGTTCTTATCCTCACTAATCCCTTTTGTCGGTTTTTTCCTGTCTGATTTGTGTCATTCGTTTTTCTTTTAGATTCTGGTTAAAGATGCTTCTTAAATCAACGAATCTCCAAATTTATTAAGTAGTATGAATCGTGCAATGTTACTTGCAAGGTGCTGACCGATATTAAACGGTCCATAAAAGTATCTTTCAATAATCTGAGACGAGATAATCGATTTAGTGACGACGATATCCCTCTGAAAAGATATATGTTCGTAAAAAGCTCTTAGAGGTTTTTCAGTTTGTCGAAGTTTTGCACCCCAAAACGTTGTTTTAAGCCCACCCTAAAAGGGGTTCGTCGTGAGAAACCTATAGACTGACACGCTGTTTACAAACAAGCTTGTGTTTGCCCACACAAGGTGTGGGTACTGCGCGTGCGCGGAAACCGAATTCGTGTGAAGCGAAGCGTCTGCGCATGCGCAGTGCCGTTGACACTGCCGCCGCAGCTGCGTGACGTCAGCTCTGCGTGTTGGTCTATAAGGCGTTCAAGAGTTCTTCATGGCCCAGTTGCCTTTCTAGTGCGCCAGGGGGCGGTAGTGCTTGAGGCGAAACAGGTTTTCACGCGCTGAAAGTGTTTTTGGGACGTCGAAAAACCTTTCAAGAACTGACAATTTTTTTTTAGAGTGGTGATAAATTCAATTTGATGGATGAACCACGTGGCGCTTATGAAATGGTAGTTTTCAAATGTTTAGGAAAGCTGGCTTCTTTGTGCAACATAAGTCCGTTTCATTGCCCCTTCTCTTACCCTCCAGGCTAACAGGAAAACTGCACTGACTAAATTGTCCATTTACAAAACGGAAGCCTCTTTGAGGTTTAAGAAAAAATAACTTATAAAAAAAAAAAAAAAGCTCTGATGCCAAAAATGGCTGCAATTTGTTTAATCAATCCGCCAAACAAATATTCAGTGTACAATTTGTGTGTGTTTTTATTGGCAAATACCACAAAGAAAAAAAAAAGACAACAACAACAACATTAAGTCCATTTGTTTACTCGCAGCTTGCACCAATCCGGGTGCAAATGACCCCAGCCACGTCGTGACCTCTACCGCGCGGTACAACCCGACCACTAAGAAGTGCGAGACCATCCCGTCGGAGACCGGACCTCACAACTGCCAGAAGTTCGCGACCCTCGCAGACTGCCAGAAGAATTGCGCGAATGCAAAGTAAACCAAGATACGCGCTGGAAACCCCGAAAACACGGATGGCCGACGACGACCCCGTACTGTGATAGGGAAAATAAAGCAGTTCTAAATAATAATTGCCTCGTTTGAATCAGTCTATACTCTGTTTCATACTTAGCGTGCAACGCTGTCAAAGCTATACTGGCGCGAGCGCGTGGCTTCATCTATGGTATTGTTGGCGCGAGACCACGTGCGAATGATCAACGAGATCAAGCCCCACGCTCGCGCCAGTAGCTTTGACTGCGTTGCACGCTAAGTATGAAACAGAGTATATTGGCATAGGAGGCCCATATTCAATGATAAATAAGGGACCATAATGAACAAAATGCCAGGACTAGCATAGCGAGCGTGTCCACTGCTTTTTGGGGGCACAATATTCGGACGCAACTATACTCGGCGACAACTTTTCTTGGCAATGCAGTGGAAGGTACGTCCCGCGTCCCCTCTCCCATTTTGAGTGTACGCAGGCTCTCCTCCTCTCCCCGGGGGAGGAGGAGAGCCTGCGTACACTCAAAATGGGAGAGGGGACGCGGGACCTACCTTCCACTGCATTGCCAAGAAAAGTTGTCGCGGAGTATAGTTGTGGCGATGCAATCGGAGCAATAAACACTCTTTAGAACTCCATGAAAGAGCACTGGTGGTCAACCTGGAAGCAGCTCGCAAAAAATGCACAAAGGGAAGAATGGACAGGACAAACGTCGACGCTCGTCCTGTCCATTGTTCGGCGCTCGTCCTGTCCATTCCTCCCTTTGTGCATTTTGTTTTGCGCCGCTACGAGTTTGTAATCATGAACCGACTCGCCTGCATCGCTACATGGATTGGGGATCAACATTTTTTCTGCACGAAGTGCGTGTTTAGATTTGCGTACTGTCCGCGCGCGTTAAGGAGAGTATTAGGCGATCTTATGTTTGGTAACTTTAATCTGTGATAGCGTAAAATCAACAAGAGAGGCCCCACCCACATTAAGCAAAGCTCCGTCTATACAGAAGAGGGCTGCTGTGCTCAGTGTTGCTAATTTGACCATTTTTAGAGCGCATCTCTTAGGCGCGCGTTTCCGGATTGAGCGGTGTCGCCGTCGCCGTCGGCGTCGGCGTAACTGCTCGTTGCATGCAACCCACACGTTGCATGCAACAGGTTGCATGCAAGCGGCGTAACCGCGCGTTTGCATGCAACGGCTAACCGCGCATTGCATTATGTGCAGTTTCCCATCATGACGTCACGAGGCTACTCTCGAGAGGGTTACGAGGGTTACGACGGTTACCCTCACAAGGGTCACGAGCGTTACCCTCACGAGGGTTGCGAGGGTTAGCTACCCAAAAAAGGGTTACCCTCACGAGGGTCACGAGGGTTATGAAAGTTACCCTCACGTATCCCCCCCCCCCCCCCCCCCCCCCCCCCCCTTCCCTGAGGTAACGTGAACTCAGGAAGTGACCTATCCCTCAGTACCCTTCCATCCTCCTCCTGGGTGATTTCAGATAAGATCGACCAAAGGATGGCTAGTCGACATTTTCAAATCAACTGATGTTTTTATATGTTATTGTCTAGTGTCTGGTATGAACGAATCCAAACTTAGTTTTGACTAGAAAAAATACTTGGGGACAGGAAAAATCGTAATGCATGAGGTGGTGGACAGTTGCATTAACGCGCACTGATGGAGGGGGCCCGTTTGAGAGTGAATAACTAAAGCAATAACATTAGGAGAACTCTAATACGTTTTAGGCGCAAACTATGGGTATAGCTTGCTTGTAATATAAAGTAATCATATTTATTTAAAATTTATTTATTTTTCTAAAAATTGACAAACATGCCTGCTCGAACGACAAATGGCAAACTTTGGAGGTCTGTATCTCATGAAATAATTTAATCATTATGATATAATTTGCAGATATTATTCTACTAATATATAGCTAATATTTAAAAAATAACTAAGGTATCTGTGTGATACAATAGTTAGGATATATTTAGTCAAACATGGAAAAAAAATCAAACAAAGAAAAATTCCGATGCGAATAAAAAAAAAAAAACACCACCCTCGATTTTTTTAAAATTTAGGTAACCTGTTATACTCTATTTCGGCATTCATTTCCATTAAAAACATGTTGCATCATTTTATTGAGAAAGAAGATACAACTCCCCAAAGTAGGGTCCTTTTTCAAAGCCTACACTTAGCAGTGTTTCATACAAGAACTGACTCTGAGTTCCAGTTTCATGAAACCAACACACATCTTTTATATATTTTTATTCAGATGAGGCCAATGATAACTAAAGAAATCGTTCACACACTTAAATTAAGGAGAAACTACTGTGTACAAAGAGGTATCATATTACGGACTAGTGATCCGAGAAAAGATCATGCAGCCATCGGCCACTAGGAACTTTGTTTACTTTATTCTCCTGCGACACTATATGCTATTCCCTCTTCCGCTCTACCTTCATCTCTCTCTCTCTCTCTCTCATATATATCCCTGATATATATCCAGAACAAAAACATGTTCAAGCATTCCCTTTCTGCGTGGTAGTGTTCTGTGGCTAGCAAAAATCATTTCCTCGCTAAGCTCACGATTATGGCAAAATAGTTGCCGGAAACCGCAGACGACACTCATCGCTAGTTCTGGCAAAACGGCCGATACAATCTTTTTTTCGCATTTCCCCGCTCGCTGTCAAGGACAAGGGGGTTCGCTTCAACCAGCAAAACATGGCCGCCGACGCCTGTTTACTGAGCAGACATGCCTGTCGCCATCTCACTCGCTGGCGTCACGGGCGATAATATCAGGCACAAAGGGGCACACCGACCGGCAGCATTATCCCCAAATACTCGAGCCTCGCGTAAATACATAGAGTGTAAACGCTGTCGCCATGTTATCGTAGTAAGACCGCCCCCCCCCCCTCCCCCAACGGGGGACTGCAGTACGCGACGGCGTACTAACACAACGGCGACGATATCGACATCGCGGGCTCCGAATTTTCCCATAGTTCTACTCCACGAGTATTTCTCGAAACGCTTGATATTGTGTACACCCGCCTGGAAGGATTTCAGGCGCGTAGTTAGGATAAGGCGGTTCTCCGCGGCAAAAGAAAGCAACTTCACAAAAGCTTAAAAGCGGCGGCGACGCGTGTGCGGTGAACGCTTGTAGTTTTGGTGTAGACAGGGTGTGTGTGTTCTCGTTGTTGACACCAGCCGGCGATAAGGCACTGCAGGCGGTAGCTCAGTACAGCAAGGGCTAATCCGAGTGACCATCAACGTAACCCCACCGCCAACCCCTCGCGAACCGGTCGCCGACATGGCTCAGGCTGTGTCATGAACCACGTGGTAGAAGCTCGGGTGCTTTCATATCAGCGCGTGGAGGGACGACAGTGCGATTCCGGAAAGTCTTTTTCGAAGGCCGCTGACCAGAATTTTTTGTCTGGAGACTTTCCCTCTTTCTTCCTTTGACGTGGATCAAGCTTTGCCGACAGCCTCAGTTGTGACCTCTCTTTTCAAATGTACATTTGCAGTGAGTGAGCTCCTCAGCCTCGGACTTGTCACTTGTGCACCCAGTAGTTTTTCACTTGGCAATTATATGCCATCAGTTGGGGTTTAATTTCTATTATTTATGTAAACATTATGAAGACGTCCTGGAGCTCCGAACGAGTGTTTTGTGCAGATTACTTTTGCAAACACAAAAAGACTATACCAAAGCAGCGGAATTTTCGAAGTGTTGGCGAGTTGGACCTAAACTCGTTGAAGCAAATTCTTCCGCCTGACTGTTCCACCAAAGTGAGTGCGACGGACTACCTGTGCTACCATTGCTTCATGCACATCACTAAGGAGATCTCGATGCGAAGCTCAGAGCAGTGCCCTGACATATTTGTGCCAGCTGAAGAAGCAATTGAAGATCTAAATCGCAGCATACTACCTACAGATGTGTCGCCGCTGAGACAACCAAGCGTCGTAAGAAGTCGGGACAGGCCTGCCTATGTCAAGAGAGAGCAGACAGAACTGGAGCAGGTTGCTGTCAAGAATATACGCTCAAGGCTACGTATTGCGTACGACAGGGACGCACCATCGGGGTCGTCCGAACCAACATGCTCCACATGCACTGAGTGGGTGGACAACTTTCGGCAGGCCTTTGAAACCGCCACCTCTCTCCGGGAACGTTGTCAACTGCTTACACTCCTGCCGTCAACACTGACGAAGAATGAGGTTCAAAAGAGGATTCCACAGGCCTCAATGTACCTCATCAGTAAATCCCGAAAACTCAAGGAAAAGCATGGCGTGTGGTATGAGCCGGATCCTTACACGAGGTGCAAGGTGAGCCCTGAGAACCTGTCTGCTGCCCTAGAGTACTTCACGAAAGACGAGCTACAATGTTCGCGCCAAAGTCCCAACCAGAAGGACGTCATCTCTGTCATGCTCAACGGAGAGAAAACGTTCGTGCCAAAGCGCTTCATGACACGCTCAATACGAGAGGCCTTCCGTATATACAAAGACAAGCATCCCGATTCCGGCGTTGGGCTAACGAAATTTTATTCGTTGCGCCCTAGATGGGTCCAATGTATTCCACACCAGGAAGTGTGCGTTTGTGTGCTCTGCGCCAATTATTATCTTTCTATTGCCGCTCTAGAGAACGTTACAGGCTCAACATTCAACACTGGTGAAATGAACTCGGCATTTCTGTGCGACCCAGCAACAGAACTGTGCCTTCAAAGAGACTGTGATCACTGCCCAAAAGGCCAGTTTCTTACACTCGAGGAACTTGATATCCCGGAGGATGAAGAGATTGTGCTTGCAACATGGGAGTCCGGCGACCTTGTGAAAAAAACTTTGGAACCTGAGACTTTCCTAAAAGTCATCCAAGTGACGGTTGGAAGTTGGGTACTTCACAACCATATCCGGCAAATGCAAGGTAAAGCGATCTACGATGAAAAACAGTGCATGCAACGCGGGAGCATTGTCTTTCATTTTGACTTTGCTGAAAACTGGACCATCGTGCTTCCTGACGAAGT